CCCCCCCCCAGGACCCCCTAGCTACGCCCATGTGTTCAACGTAACGCGACATGACGTTTGCATTTCGTCCCAAACCATGACCGCATGTCGAACGCTTGGAGGCTCCCAATCAAGCGTCCAGCCCACGTTCAAACTGGGGCTCTCAAACTGGCCCTAATTTTCAATTTTTGCACGAAATTCCTCGAAAATTTCAAGATCCGATCTGCGATGTGCCCAAAACACGTCTGTTACCTTCGAAGATCGTCAAGACGACGACCTTTGATAGGTAAAAGTCGACAGTTCCATCGATGAGCCTCTTTGAGGCTCCTAGTTCGCGCGTGGCGTGGGCTACTGGACGCTGTACTGCCGTGCTAGAAGAACGCCGTATGAACCTTCGTTAGTCGCCAAATTTCCTTTGATCACTTACGAATTTTCAAGAAAACTTGTGGATATTTATTTTCCATTCAATTTTTCAGAGACTTTTCTTTGTAATTAGATCTATACTATCTGAAAATTTCAAGAGAAAATATTCATTACTCTACTCAAAAATGAACATTTTATTGGAGGAAATTTGGCAACTCTCGAATGTCCTTACGGCGTTTCTCCTTACCACGGCAGTATAGTAGAACAGCAGCCTGCAGGATCCACTCCAAGTTAGTGCCCAGTTCATTCATGGTTTTCTCCTCCATTCAGTCCTACGTATAGCCAGCTAGCAAGCTGTCTGGCATATCAGCCCACGCTCCAACCGAAGACACCCCCCCCCCTCATCCCTCCTCGATGAAAGTGTAGAGATGCGAGCTTATTTCGTATCAGTTCACCCGTGACCAACCAGAAGCTGAGACTATCGTGACGTCATCACGATACACATTAAGAGAGGAGGTTGTCCTATTGAGTCCGTCTTGATTATTACCTACAGTGTTGCCGAGCATGGGGGACGATGGGGACTTTTTGTGGGGGGCCAGAAGGGCATCCCTTCAATTGGGTCGGGGATGGAGATTGAGAGACATCCCGTCTAGAGGGATCTGTGAGACTCCTCCACAGCTCCGAAGGGGAGTTCGGGGGAATTTCCTAGCTGCAAATGAGGACCCGATGGGCCCCCTCCCAGAAAATTCTAAAAAATTGAGTCAATTCAGGAACAATTTTCGGTTCCCCTTCCGGCCTCATGCTAGTTCCATGTCTGCTTTCTAGTGAGCTGATTTTCCTCGAGTGTCAGTAGAGCACAAAAGCGGAAAATGTCGTGAAAGGGTTTTTTTTTCCTGCCTGTGAGTAAAACTCATCGAGTCTACTTACGAATCATTCTAGTCCGCATTAAAAAGATCAGGCAGCAGTTCGGTCCTTTCTGTTCAAAATCATGTTTTCACATGTTTTTAAGCCCTTGTGAAAACTTGAGTTGCCAAATTTCCTCGGATAAAACATGTAGGCACTTTTGACGACATTTACGTATATTTTTCCATACAATTTTCAGATATTTTAGATTAAATTGCGAACAAAATAATCTGAAAAAATTTAAAAGAAAAATATTCACAATTTCCCTAATTGAATCGTATTTCACCAGAGGAAATTTGGCAACGCCTGGAGGCTTATACGGCGTTCTTCCTTAGCACGGCAGCGTAAAGCACAGTTCTGCAGTTGTACGGACTTGAGTGACGTCATGGCCTCCTTTTCTCTTCACTCCATGACCGCCTATCGGACCTTGGGATGTGCTCACCTCCTTGCTTGCACCACACGGCCAACGACGACGCGAGCCCAATAGAAGGCGCAGGCGGCTTCGGTCATTCAAGCTATTATCACTCACGCTCGCTATCACTGAGTCGGGCGTGATCCCACCAGCTGGCTTTGTTTTGCGTCTCAGAAATTTGGTCGATCTTACGCGTGGCTTTTTTGAGATTTTCGCTCGAAGACCCTCAGTGCTACAATTGGCAATCAATCAGTTTACTTCCAGTCGGAGTTCCTGATTAGACGTTCGTTCGAGCCACTGAAATGACTTCACACCCCTTGCTCAGTAAAGACTTGCCCGATATTGAAGTAAGTGTTTGTTTTTATTCCCTTACTGTCTTTGATACCAAGTCGTTTTGACCTAGGATAATTAATATCAATTTTTGATTCGAATTATTAGTGTCCTCTTTTTTACAATCTTATCGTCTGAAAAAAGAGGGGGAAATGTTCCGTCTTGTGAATCGGAGCGCTCGAAGTCCAATACCCACCTATCAGCCTCGCAAGCCGAACTACTCGGTCCGTAAACCGGGCGTTGTATACTGGTTGTCTGGCTAGTTGTGTTTCTGGTCATTTTTTTTTCATTATCATGGCAATTCTGACCTTTTTGTTAGTTTAAGATAGTTACGTAATATTAATTAATCCAACACAACTTTCTTAATTTGGTACAAAATTTAAATTTTAGTACGGTTAATATAGACTTTTTCAGATTGATGATCCTTGTATTTTTTTGGTCAATCCGAGTCTTAATTGATTTCCTGTTTTTCTAATTTTATCTTTGGGCACTGTCATGACTGCCTTACTGAACTGTCCTGTCCGGTGTGTCAAATCGAACTTGCGATTCGTGTACTGAACCGAACGTGATTCGTGTAATCGTTTAAACCAATCATATATTTACTATGTATTTCAACCGAACTATATATTCGGCATCTCGAACCACACTTTCGGCTTGTGCATAACCGAGCCTCTTTTTCAGATCCTTTAAATTTAATTAACAGAATAGAAACCACATAAACTTCAAAAAAAAAAAAAAAAAAAAAAAAAAAAAAAAAAAAAAAAAAAAAATTGAAAGTTCGTCGTCGTCCGATCCGGAAATCCTATAGAGGCGGCATCGAATACCGACTGTTTGATTCACACGACCAAAGCTCTTATCGGTGGAATGAAAATTTTCAAACACCGTCCAATTAAAATGGATTAGAATTTTTCTCTCTCTCTCTCTCTCCCCCTCTCCCTCCCTCCCCCTCTTCCCCCCTCTCTTCCCCTNCGATCAAGGAAAGTGCACAAAAATAACGTCAATCATGTCATCGTTTCAATGCGATAGAAGTTATTGTGATGCACCCGTTTTTAGTCGCTGAATTTCCCCCCGTCCCCCGTCTTCCCCCTTTTTTGTAATGTACCTAAATATTTGTATGACAATTGCTGGTCAAATACATGATTGCTGAGAGTCTCAAGATTTAAATGTTAGAGCGCCGCGGTGACGTGTCGGAAGTAAGAGTCGTGATACAACTATTTCGACTTCCTTGTCGGCCAAATTGCATACCTCGCGAAATGTGGGGGTTTTCAATCTGACGTGCGTACCTCCGTCTCTTCACAACGATTGCTTTTCGGCTAGTGTTAACTCGTCGGAGATCAGAGGTCTGCGTTGACCGTGGAGAAAAAAACTGAAATCTAGGAATGGAAAGAACATTAAATGCTCTCTATAAGTATGCCCCATGCCCCCCCCCCAATCCTAGTGTCGAATATTGGCATTTTTCACAATTTTCGGGGATGTTGAATCTTGAGTGTATCCCTGAACTCCTCGCCTCCCCCCCCCCTCAATAAAAACCTTTTAACCCGACCCCTCTTATCCATGAAAAATGTCTATCTTGACGGAAACCCTTTTCCGAACAATAAGTTTTTTTATCCATCTATTTTTACTCACTTCCCTGGTAAAAATTGGCAGTAGAATCTGTGTTCCAAAGTACCATAGATCTACAGCCGGCTGTAAGATTTCCAATAGCTTCTATAGCCGGCTGCACAATTTGTTATAGCCTTTTATAGCCGATGGCGACTAAGCAACAGGCAGGCGATAAAGTGTATGCTAAACGTTACTAATTACGGATGCTATAGGACTTAGTGAGTTTTTGAACCACCGCTCTCTTTTTGGGCCGTAGTATCTTGATTTATTTTGCAAGGAAAGCTCCGTACTTTTGATGGATGCCTGCCATTCCTAACATGTTGGAGCGCCTTCAATTTCGTATGATACTGTGTGTGAAATACTTGCTTCAAGCGCCGTGGCACGCTGCGCCGCCGCGGCGGGCGGGCAGCCAGCCAGCACGAAACGCGCATTGGCGCCTACAAACCTAACAGGGATACTTCACGCATTGCGCAATGCGTGAAGTATCCCTGTTAGGTTTGTAGGCGCCAGTGCGTCGCCGCTCCGCTTTGTGTTAGGCTCTAATATTTAATCTGGCGGAGTCAGCGTTTTTCAACTCATGATTTTGAAATGTTTGCACTCTTTGTATGGATTATTCTCATTTTAATTAATGAAAAAAAAAAAAATTGTTTTAAAGGAAAGTATAACGTGTGTTTTGTAAATATTAAGGTGATTCCGTACAAACTTCAGGATTTACAAAGCGCACGAATTTCTACACAATTTCTCACAGCTTTTTGTAGCCGATGCGGCGATAATCTGTATAGCCCGGCGATAGGAACTATAGCCCGGCTGCATAATATCGCTTCGTATGGCCCGGCTTTATGATTTTCTCCGCTTTCTACTGCCAGCTATATAATTTTCTGTAACCTTCTTTAATTGGCTATAAGAGCTCCTATGGTATTTTGAAACGCACCTCCTATCGCCAATTTTTACCGGGGTTTTTCTCGTTCTTTTTGAAAATCAGTGAAAACAGAAATTTTAAAACGGTCCGTTTTTGTTAAAAGCTTGTGTAGTCTGAACATCTAAATCTCATGAAGTCAAATGAAATATGTCACACAATTTCTTTTTCCACCCCCCCCCCTTCTGTGTCTACTTCAGTAACTCCTACTCTCAATATGCATCGGTAGAGAATCTTGAAAATCACTCGCACTTTTCGTGAATAGAATTACTTATGTAATTGCAGTATGTTGGATAGCACGTTAAGCACCCAAGTGTTGATAACGCAAATTATTTATCTTCTTCTCTTTTCAAGCTTATCTTTGTGTAGGAACCTATAATCTATCCCACGAAATATCAACATTTTTACCATGAGCCCAGAAAAATTATAGTAGATTTTATGTTGATGCGTCAATAAATAATGAGATCCGAAATGATTTATTTGAGATAAATGAGTGACGTCGTGACTTTTAATTTGTCTTAATTAATCTTATCGTTGGTACCTATAGATACGTATGCAATTATTTTTCTTCTCCCTTTCCGCCACAAATTCTTGTGTTTTCTCTCCATCTCTCTCCTTCCTTGCCTGCCCTTATCTCTATTTACACATCTCTCCTCTCTTTCTCCTCGACAAAACCGACTGTAACCGTAACCATGACTGTGATCCAACCGTTGCGACGTTTCAAAATATTCTGTGCTGCCGTGCTGAGGAAAAACGCCGTATGAACATTCGAGAGTTGCCAAATTTCCTTTGATAAAATTTTTATTCTTGAGGAAAATTATGACTATTTTCCCTCAAAATTTTCAGGAACTTTAGATCAAAATACAAACAAAATTCTCTGAAAAATAGGAAGAAAAATATTTTTAAGTTTACCAGGGAATTCGTGTTTTATCATAGACAATTTGGCAACGCCTGAAGGTTCATACGGCGTTTTTTCTTAGCACGGCAGGATAGTGGTAGTCCAACTTTTCAAGAAAAACGATTGAACGTTAAGTATTATTTTAAAGTTTTCCCAATGTACCTTTCAGACATATTCGTGGGAAGAAGAAAAATCAGTAAAACTTGCCAGAAAATAATGTTAATTTCCCTAATTACGTAAAATATATGTGATTAGAGATTTTCAACGTCGCAAATCGAAACACGCGTTTTCGACTTCCAGCGTCGAAACGCGACTCGACGGACAATATTGACTGAATGACGACAGGCGCCTGAATGCAACTATTCGCCCTCTATAGATGTGCGTGTTGCATACTTTAAACGATGGAGGCGTTTTGGCTTTTCTTGCCCCTTCAACAACGCGTCGATGCGTACCGCACCGTTTGTATTCGCCATCAATGGAGATGTTGCATGTGTGAGGAATTTGCGATTTCACTCTTGATTCTTATGTAAAAGTTTGCAAGAAACACGATGGTGCCACTGGTTTTCTCTGAAATCAACTTCCAAGCTCAAAAAAAGCTCTCAAGTTGGGGCCAAAATGGAGGGAATATCCCACGCTATCCTGAGAGTCCACCTCGATCTACATCAAGACAAACTCTCCATGCAAAGATACGGAGCAAGTACATTGACAGGGCTGCCACTTTATTTGGGGACTCTAAAACTGAAAACACGGCCTCACTGCTGATGTATTTGCCCCCTATCTTTGCATGGAGAGTTTGTCTTGATGTAGATCGAGGTGGACTCTCAGGATAGCGTGGGATATTCCCTCCATTTTGGCCTCAACTTGAGAGCTTTTTTTGAGCTTCGGAGTTGATTTCAGAGAAAACCAGTGGCACCATCGTGTTTCTCGCAAACTTTTACATAAGATTCAATTGTCAAATCGCAAATTCCTCATCAATGCAACACTCCATTGAGGATGTTCAATAAAATGTAAGCTGAAATTTCAAGCTTTCTATTTTGATTCGAAAAAGTTACTTATTTTCATAAATCATTTTTACCGCTCTAAGTACCCAAACTTGAAGAAGATCTACACCTAGAATTCTCTCGATCCGGCACAAGAATTTTTCCTATCGTTGAAAATAATATAGGGCTCTAAATATGTCTCTAAGATCTCTCCTAATTATGTCACCATTCAAAACCTCAAATAATAAATTACTATCAAATTAATAATTCATATAAGAAGGAATGGTTCGCTATGTGTTCTCTGCATTAAACTTTACCTGTGAGTATATCTCTTCAAGATGAAATAGTAAATCAAATTTAAACCTGAATAATAGTTTTACGATGTATAGATACACCCTCTGGGTTGCACTTTCACTTTTCTTGAATGATCACAAAAAGTTTGTTTCAGAATGTGTTGAGGCTCAATCCAAAAACACCAAAATATGCCAAAATTCAACCTACTGTCCGCACAAAAGCAGAGAAGCTAAAATGGAAAAGAAATGCCTCCAAGAATTGCTGTGTAAGTAGAGAATTTTCTTCTTTTTTCACCCTTTAGTACCTATTTATACCATGGCCGGATTTACCTACTTGCCGCCCATGGGCCGCCTGTATTTTGCCGCCTCCTTCTCATTCGTTTCGAACCATCAATAAAAACCATCAAGTGAACGTGCCGGAGGGAGAAGGGTGCATGAGACGCGTTGACTCGTATTGGACACATTTTGTGCGTAAGCCCTGTCAACACTACTGGCAAAAGTTCACGGAACTTCGCTCGAAAGTTCAGTTCCGTAAACCTATCTCTGTGTGGACAAGGCCCCTCATTTGTAAGAAATGCTAAAAAATAAGAAAGAACAAACATAAATGTGGTTTAATAATTTTAACTTCCGCCGCCGTGCTGCGTTGACCACACTGTGCGCAATGCGTGAAGTATTCATGTAGTCTTGTAGGCACTGGGCGTTTCACGCCGCGCCGCGCGCCGTTGACCGTACGGTGTTTGACGCAATGCGTGAAGTATATTCATGCAGTCTCGCAGGCGCTAATATGTGTTACATGCCGACCGCCGCGCCGAGGGCTTCTCCCTTTCATCTCAAGTCCTCGTCATAATTTCTCTCTGCGCCGCGCCGCTCCAGGCCAAATCTCGTGTTTGGTTTCTCTCTTAAATCAACTAATTAAAGGTGCGCAGTCTTTTGTATCACCGAAATACGACAAAATTAGACATTAATTAACTCTCAGGAAATGAGAGATTTTGTCACCTTTTCTCGTTTGTAATGTTTTTCTGAATCCGATTTTTTTGTACCTGCTTTTAAAAAAATTGCAAAATTTGCCGCCATGGGCCGCGGCCCATGTGGCTACCCCCTTAATCCGGCCCTGATTTATACCCCCTGTGCGTGTTTTAATTCATACAAGGTACTTACTTAATATCTTATAAACAGAAAGAAAAATAAATCTGAGCCACTGACTTAGAACAAGCGTTTTTGTGGTCTTGGGTTCTTTTGTAATTTTCGTGCTTTCTTTTTGAAGAAAAACAAATTAACTGAATAATAATTGCGAGAATTCACTTATAGAGGAATATCATTTCAAACCTCACCATTCTTGTTTTCTACATTGACCATAGGTATTTAGCTTCCATTTCTTTATTTGCCTTACTGTCTGTGCAGATGGCTTGTGCAGCAATATCATTCAGCTTTTGTCCATCTAAATCTCTCATTCATTTCAAGTACCTACAACCAATATTGCTACTTAGCAGATAAAAAATGGACAGGAAAATATCATTTTACGATTATGTTTCTAGGAAGTTCCTTTCTGTAACAATCTGTTAAAAATTTATTTTGCAGGGATCACACTCGCTGGAAAAAAATTTTGATGACATCAAACCTACAACATTAAGTGAGAGAGGAGCTTTAAGAGAAGCTTCAAGATGTCTAAAATGCGCCGATGCGCCGTGCCAAAAATCTTGCCCCACACAGTTGGACATCAAAAGTTTCATAACCAGCATCTCAAATAAGGTAGTTTAATGCTTTTTTCTGCCTTACTTTGGCCTCTAATTTTCTTATTTTATCCATCGGACAGTCAATACAAATTGACTGTATTGACAGCCGACCATCACAATGTATGAAAATTGCTGTAATTTGAGGAAATAAATCAATTCCCAAAAGTCAAATGAAAGATATTTTTAGGAAACCTTCTCAACTGGTACGTCTAATTGTGATGATTGCGGAAAGGAGGTTTGTGAAAAACAAAAAAAATTTAACTGCCAAAACAAGAAAAATTAAGGCTACGATAGAAAAAATGAATTAATTAGAGGATCAGAAAAAAAATTAAAATAAATAAATTCCCAACAAATATTGCAATAATATACATTTTGCAAGTATCAGAACTAATTTTATATTTTCGTTAAAAGTGAGATGTCCAGTTTCAAGTTTAGCCAACAATTAAATGTATCTCATGAAAAATATAATTTTCTGTGTATTTACTGTTTACAGAACTATTATGGGGCAGCAAAAGCTATTCTTTCAGATAATCCATTAGGGCTCACCTGCGGGATGGTCTGTCCCACAAGTGACCTATGCGTAGGAGGTTGTAATCTTCAAGCATCTGAGGAAGGGCCGATCAACATTGGAGGTCTTCAACAATTTGCCACAGAGGTAAGTCTGACTTTTGTTCTGCAGTAGCAATGAACACAAAAATAAATTGTTTAAAACCGATGTAGGAAAAAAAAAACCCATAATCCATTATTACAAGAAAAACTGTTTTTATGAATGAGGTAGACCTTTTCTTCATGTTTTATTGAGCATGACAATCATTGAACTTCACCCAAATTTGTCATGAGTCATTTAAGTATCTTCTTTACTGTAAAGTTGATGTCATGATCTTTTTTTAGGAAATCAAGTAATTTTTTCTCTTAAATATTTAGGTACAGAATTTTAATGCAAATGTTGGGCCATATTTCTGGAAACGATCTCTTTAATCTTTGTAAAATACGTCAGCCTTGTAAAAAATATCATCTACTGATTGTGAGCTAGCAACTATTTTTTCCTTCTTCTTTTTTTGGAGTATTTTATTTTTGCCAATTTTTCCTCTGTCTACAGGTCTTCAAGGACATGAAAATACCCCAGATCAGGGATCCCAATCAATCAGTCCAATTCAGCGACTCTAAAATAGCACTGATAGGTTGTGGACCTGCATCCATATCATGCGCAACATTTCTTGCTCGTTTAGGATACGCCGATATTACTATCTTTGAGCGCGACAATGTCATAGGAGGCTTGAGGTAAGGAAATCGACTTTGCCAGCTTTATTGGATTTTTCAATGCTCATATTTGGAGTCATGTCAATTTATAATTCAAAATTGCAATGAAAAACGTTAAATTTTGCAAGTTAAAAAGATTATTTGAATTTATTTGTGTTTTTCAAGTGACAGAAAATAAATGTAAATTTTCCCTTAAACAATGGAATTTAAGAGGGTAAAATAAGTCAAACAAAAACATCTACAAATAAACATAAAATAAAGAGACGTCTCTCTCACTTAATGTTGATTATGAAGCATTTTGTCGAGTAGGATGTATATGTCTATTCCCAGAAAATTCTCTCCAATAAAATATAAAACTCAAAATCCACATTTCCCATGAGGTCACTGAAATGATTTAGAACAGAAAAATTCTTTGCGTATCCCTTTAAAACGTATGATCACAGAAAATTTAAATAGTTTACTCATTCAAAGCTCTTCGAATGTAGAAGAATGAAATTTGCTTCATTTACGAGGTTTTTTTGCAGCCTATCTTTTATTCCATCTATTATTTAAAGAAAACTATCATAATGCCACCGAAATATATATTTTCACTTCCTCCGTAAGTTTGCCTAAGATTTTATGAGCAACGGTTTTAGAGCTCATCACACAAGGAAAATAGCTTAAAAACAAGCCCACATATTCCACATTTCATGTTAAACACTAAGATTAAGATTCTTCTTTAGTTTTCTCATTGTCAATTTTTCTTCATTACTCAAGTTTTTATATCTGCCTTTGTTTTAGCTCAACAGAAATACCTCAGTATCGTTTGCCGTATAACGTTGTTAGTTTTGAGATTGCTCTAATGCAAGATTTGGGAGTGAAAATTGAGACTGGAAGAAGTCTGTCAACAGACGATTTAACAGTTCAGGTATTTATGTTCTACGCAAATCTCCATTTTTGAATCTGTGAAGTCTAAGCAAAGTCTTAAAAAAGGTGACATAGGTATAAAAGAAATGTGAAATATCCGCAACTCTCGGTCTCATTTATGATTTGAAAGTAATTCCTGTGACCATGGTTGAAAGAGAACATATTACAATGGCTAAAGTTGGAAAAACGCGTATCCCCATAATTTCAAAAGAATCCCTGAATTCATTTAAACTGTTTGAAAAAAAATGAACCGAAATATCTCCGTGAAATTTTTCGCCAGTACTATTTAGAGCATGAAAAAAATTTACAGAAATTTTTTTTAAAAAAATCTGTTCATTCCTTTTTTCCTAGAAAAATAAAATCTGAGTGGATATTTTTAACTTTGCAATCAGGTGTGAATTTTTTACTTAGCCATCAATTAATTATGTACCCATTTTTCAAACGCATGATCGGCATTTGAAATTTGCTCATTTTCTTCAACTTATTGTTTCTTGTCCATAAGTTCTTAGTTAAGTGTTTTCCTGACTGGATGACTTTCCAATCTGACTGATTGCCTTGCTGTCAGACTGCAAAGTGTGTACCTTTTACTTTCTATCGACGTTCAATGAAATCAAGGTCAACACAATATCTCAAGTCACTGTGGTACCTCATTGCAATATTGTCAGCTTCCAGTTTCTGTCTGTTTCCAGAAATTAAAGGCAGATGGATACAGTGCACTTTTCATCGGCATTGGAAAACCCCAAGCCAATCTCATACCAATCTTTAAAGATCTCACTGAAGAAATGGGATTTTTTACCTCCAAAAGTTTTCTGCCCAAGGTTTCCAGAGCAAGTAAACCAGGTATTCTTTATTCTTTTCTTCTTGATGTCATAATGAAATGATTTGCATGCCCCTCTCGGGTTGTAAATTTTTAAAGATAAATTCATCTAAGGTAATTGTGAAGCCAAGCAAGATAATGTATTCTTTCCAGCTCTTGTAATTATATAAATATTACCAGCAATAATGGAAATCCATGTTAGTGGCCATCGATAGAACACATAATGCTCTAAAGAGGAGAGAGGGTTGAGGAGAGCGTTACACCATTATGTTTACACATGTGACAGCTAACATAGGAACCTACATCACCAAAGAGTTACAAGGGGAGGGCGTGAAAAAACCGAAATATAGTGCTATGCATATGATGAACAGCTCAAGTAGATTATTACACAATGGAAGCAAGTAATGGGAGAATGTGCAGTAACAAATAAAACTTAGGTAGCAGAAAGTTGTTGTTCACTCTCATTTTTTGCACAGATGGATTTTTTGGTTGTACTTTTTTTTGGAAACTGAGTTAAGTAAAAACTGTGAACGGATCCCCGTAATAAAATTGATTTTGGTAAGGTGAGGTAAAATTGAACACACCCTCTTCCAAAGTTCATAACTAATTTGATGAATCAATGGGTTGCAGGTGTTTGCTCATGCAAATCAGTATTGCCAACCCTTTCAGGAAGTGTTATTGTCTTGGGGGCCGGAGACACAGCATTTGATTGTGCAACGTCAGCCTTAAGGTGTGGTGCAAGGAAAGTCTTCGTTGTTTTCCGCAAAGGCTTTGGCAACATTCGTGCTGTTCCAGAAGAAGTAAGCTATCTCTCAAAACCATTTTCATTTTTTGATCGTACATTTTTTAAATCCCTCTAAAAGCTTTGAATGAGAAATCTTTTTTTTTAATCTGGAGACAACATCAAAGTCTGATTGACTGTAAGGTTAATTTCGCCAAAGTAGCTCAGCAACTTGAGTAATGCATAGGGTTGAACAAACTAATATTAGCCCTATTAAAATATTTTTAAGAGAGAAAAATGTTAGGTTGTCCTTTGACTGTATGTAGGTTCACTTCAAATCCCTTTAGGCAGTTTAGCAGAAGTTTTTTTGCGCTACATTTTTTAATTTCTGAGCTTATTGAGTTAGCTCAATTCCATTACCCTCTAGTATTTAAAATTAGATCACAGCAAATTCAATCACCGAAACTTCTGTTGCTTTGAGCCAACTTTATGGTCCAATTTTCTATAATTGTAAGCTTGTTACATCAATATTTACATCCTGTCAATTGTTACAAAGGCATGTTTGCCAATCGCAACAACATTCGTTTTTTATTTTAGGTTGAAGCTGCAAAAGCTGAAAAATGTGAGTTCATTCCGTTCCATTCTCCAAAGGATGTCATTATCAAGGACAATAAAATTGTTGGTATGAGTTTTTATCGAACAGAAGAAACTGAAGATGGGAAGTGGATTGAAGACAAGGAAACAGTGATCAAACTTAAGGCGAATTTCATAATTTCTGCTTTTGGATCTACTTTAAATGATACAAAAGGTACTCATTTTCCCCTTATTTTATAACCAAGATTCAGTATTTTTCAGTTGCAAACGAGAGAATTTGGCAACATACAAAGTTCCAGTATTTTTTTCTGAAAGCCAAACCCATACCGTGGCACAATACACCTGAAAATCTTTAATTTTGCCAACTAGGAGTCAATGAAAAACAGACTCCTTGAATCTTAGAAACACACCAAAAGCAGTTCCTCAAATCTTGAAAACTTGCACAAAAATGACTCTGGCGCGTTGATGTCGTTAGAGATTCTGGAAGTTTAAATGAGGCTAGCAGTTAAATTTTTCCTAAAATTTTTGATTTTTTGGTATAGGTAATTTCTGCAGAACACATAGAAGAGATTTTTCACAATGAATGTTGGTTTCCATAAGTTTCAAACACAATACCAACCTGGCAGACTAGGGAACGCACTCTCCTTGCTTGTTGAACCTAATTCTGGCAGCATGCAGAGTTATGACACATAGACCCAAATGATTAGGATTCAAGGTGATGAGGACAGTAAATCGTCACCTTCCCGGCAAAGTATCACAAGCGCCACTTTGCCAACTTTTCAAGAGACACAAAAAACTGAATTGCGACCGTAAAAGACGGATGTTTGGCTTGAAACTTGAAATATAGATCCAGCACACCTCCCTGCTTCGAATTTTAATAAAATTTCTTTAAAAAAACGGGTTTTTCTTTGAAAATTGGCGCTTGTGATATCGGCTTCTCGGGGCACTCTGAGAATCTATTGGCGCTTGTGATACGAAAGCTCATCAAATTTAACGGAGTTTTTTCCATATTTCTTCATTTTTAATCTAAAAAAAAATATTATTTTCGTATGTAAATGCATCTTATTAATTCAAAACTACCCATAACTCAACTTTAATAAAAATAGCGCTTGTGATACTTCGGCCGAAAAGTGACGAATCGCTCCAAGTCATTCCAAAAGGTGTTGATACTAATATCGAAAATCAATCTCAAAGATGAGCGATTATTCCCAACTTGGCGCTTTAAATATTTATTTATATTTAGTCTAAAAAAAATATTATATTCGAAATAACGAGATGTAATTACATGCGAAAATAATTTAGTTTCAAGTCATTCCGAATACTGCCGTGACAAAAATTGTAAAACAATCAGAAAGGTAGGCGGTTGCCGAACTTGGCGCTTGTGATACTTTTCTCCCAAATGGCGCTTGTGATACGAAAGTACATCAACTTTAATCGACTTTTATTCATATTTCTACATATTTGTTGTAAAAAAAATGATTATTTTCGTATGTAAATGCATCTCGTTATTTCGGAACTATTCATAACTCAATTTCGGTAAAAATGGCGCTTGTGATACTTTGCCGGGAAGGTGACGAAATGTAATAAATGCATTTTCTCCGGCAAACAAAGTTTGAAGAAAAATTGAGTGTTTCATGAATATCATAAATTGATAAATTTTCAATTTTTGCTCTAGATATATTCATTTCTTATTTTTCATTTGAAGCATAACAACCAGTTTTTAGCACGTGCGGCAATTGGTTTCTCTATTTCTACATCTGTATTAATGTCTTATTTTTCTTTCCTCTCAGTGATGGAAGCACTGCAGCCAATAAAACTCAATAAGCAAGGTTTTCCTATTGTGAATCCGGATACTTTGGAGTCAAGTGAACGAGGTATTTTCTGTGGGGGTGATGTTGCAAATTACTCAGAGACAACCGTAGAATCTGTGAATGATGGAAAAACTGCAGCGTGGCACATTCATAAGTTCATCCAAGTGAGTGATAAAGACTTTATTTTATCCTCTCTTTACATGTTCACTGCTGAGTTGACTGTACCCAGTTGGAGAAACCATGTTAAAAATAGTATTCGAATCCTTTCAAACAGTGGCGTAGCCAGGAATTCTTTAAGGGGAGGGGGGTCCATTTACATTATTTCGTGTACGCCCCTGATAATATTTTATGTCTGCCCTCCAAAAGTAAAAAGAAGGTACAATTAATGAGGCTAAGGGAGTGTAGACCCCCTGGAACCCCCTCCCCCTCCTCCTTCTTGTCTACGCCACTGCTCTCTAACACTTCAGGTTATTTTAAAAATGTTTAAAAACTTGTTTAACATCTGTAAATGTCAATCAAAAAAATTGCATTCACAACATTTTTGGAATATACATATCGCACTGATGGCTAAAGTTGAAAAATTCAAATCTCCATCAAATCGCTTTAGAAGAACTGTTTGTTTACCTTAAGAAAAGTAAAGCATGAGCAGAGATACGTAAGATCTCAAATGGGAATATCAACCTCAGCCGTTGTTATTTTTCCAGGAGTTGAAACTTCTTGATGAACACTCGTACTGTTGATCAAGCACACAAGTATTGTGCTCCGGTAGTTAATCGCTGAAGCTTAAAAATGTTATACATGCCTTATGAGTATACATACCACCGATTATCATTACACACTGTGATAGAGACTAGATATTAAACTTACCAAATGAGGAATATTTGAGAGTAAAATCTTAGTATTGAAGGCAAGAATCAATTTTACAAAGCTGAGTTTAGATGCCTTTGCATGGTGCACTACCCCTCTGATTGTGCCAGGCCTAGCATCAGTCCTTTTAGGATTGATGTTTGACAAGAGCGTTTTTCTGTATTATAAGAATCTATCATGGACCCTAAGCGGTCAAGGAGACCAGTACTTCCTGCAACAAGTGTTCATTGCTCTGCAAGATGATAAAATCACTTCCTGCAGGTCCATCATGGAAGTAAATGTGAGGTGTAGAATAGTTTGTCCTCAATACTTTTTTTTTCTTTAAGCAAATTGCAACTTTACCAGCAACTTTTGATATTCCAGGAAACAAATGGAGGCATTGTTGAGGATGAGCCCAAGTTACCCAAATTTTACACCCCAATTGATGATGTTGATATCTCTGTAGAAATGTGTGGACTTAAATTTGAAAACCCTTTTGGACTTGCATCTGCCCCACCAACCACTTCAGGTGCCATGATCAGGAGAGCCTTTGAAGCAGGCTGGGGCTTTGTTGTCACCAAAACCTTCTCTCTTGTCAAGGTAAATGAAAAGTATTTTCTCCTCTTCAGTTCTAAGAAATCTTAGCACAGTGCATCAAAAGGATGGAGTTTTTTTCATTCTTAAAATTGTGAGCGCTGTGTTAGATTTCTTTGAAATATTGTGTTTGAAGTCAAACATCTGCAGTAAATCGCAGGTCTCTAAATGCAATGATCAGAAGTCCTGAGGATTAGTCATCTGCATTGCCATTTTGAATTCTTCTATATTTGATTTCCACTCATTTGATTCCTTTTCTATTTATTTTTTCACTTTTTCCCCCCTTTTTTCTTGAAATCCCATCTTCAGTTTTTCCCTGCGAAGAGCAAAGGGCACACGGTCTTGCCAAACTATCTGACTGGCAAGACCAGTCAGCAAATAAGAAAAGAAGCACTTATTCTTAAAAAAAATTTGCCGATCTACCAATTTATTTTTTTGGACTAGCCATCATATTACGAATTTTCTTATCATAATTTTTATGGCATTTTCCCAGGATCTTGTCACCAATGTCTCGCCTAGAATCGTTAAGGGATCGACATCGAGACATTTATACGGACCAGAGCAAGGATCATTCTTGAATATTGAACTGATTTCAGAAAAAACAGAAGCTTATTGGTGCAAAAGCATCAAAGAATTGAAGGCAGATTTTCCCTCAAAAGTAAGTTTATCAGCTCATAGTAAAGGATTCTGTAATTTCTTTTTTTTTTTGATTGCTTTAAAGTAAGAAATTTGTTCTAATTTAAGTGTCGATACCAGCTAATTTTGAGTCTAATTTTTATATTTATTATTGAACTTCTGAATATTTTACACTTATACTAAATGGAAGGGTTGTGAATGGTCGTAAAAACTCTTTTGTTTGAAAACTTTTAAGTCTTGTTAATGCAAGTGTGCTGTGGCAAGGTTTTGAACAAGGTTTTTCCGTCCAATTTGGTAATCGGAGCACACCTTTTCTCTTTTTTGCTTATGAAAACATTCCTATCTTTTGCCGTATCATCTGGTAAAATTTTTGTGGAAAGTCTATTGAAAAAACTAATTTTTTAAACTATTTTTAGAAGTTTTTGAAAACTTTCTTCCAGCATTTTAAGTGTTGAAAAACTTTTTAACTTAAACTATGTGATATCTAGAAATGGTTTCTTCCTTGGTATGTTCTTACAATTTTTTCAATATTTGTCTTTTTAAAATTTAAAAGTTTTTTTCAAAAAATTTTGCTGTTGGCATCGAAATGACATTACTGTAAATCATGAAATTACAGAATGCTCTGTTGGGCAATGGTGTAGCTTATTTTGATACTGAGATAAGGCAGCGAAAGTGAATGACAATTTTTAGCCCAAAAGCAAACAGTCTTGTAATTGCATTCAAGTCGAACCCATTATTATAAGCCCTCATGATATGAAGAAAATTGTGCATGCACTGATCTTACAAGGTGTGAATGTCTCATGTTATGAAGCAAGACACTCATCCTATCTTTCTGCCCAATTAGATTTTGATTGCAAGTATAATGTGTACTTTCAACAAAGCTGATTGGACAGAACTCGCTCAAAAAGCTGAGGCTGCCGGCGCAGATGCTCTGGAATTGAATCTGTCATGTCCTCATGGTATGGGTGAATCTGGAATGGGTCTCGCTTGTGGACAGGTAAATTTACTTTTTATTCTACTCAACTTTGTCAAAGTATTTCTCAAGGTCAATGAGAAAATAATTATAGAGGGAAAGCTCGGTACTCGCTGACCTTCTTTTGAAACCTCCCCAGTCTGTATGTGACTTTCTGGAAATCAGGAGTAATTCCTGTGTAATTCAATAATTGTCTTTAATGGTTAGGTATCCGTCATTATTTTAAGCACATTTTTATTGGAGCAAGATGGTATGGTGTATATTACAAAACTGAAAGGAATCGAAAATAATAATCAGATCATTAAATGGGATAGTAACCTAGGAAGTCGTAAATCTGGAATCATCATGTGAGTAAAAGGACTCAAGGTCACAAACAACTTTGTAAGAAAAAATTTGAGTCAGGACACTAAAAAAATTTTGGCATTTTTTTGTGTTTATATTAATTTTATCTATTTATTGATACAGCAAATAAATAATATGTTTCCCTAAAAAATTAGAAAAATGCTATCCCCTCTTTTTAATAGCTAGCCACCGATAGGTGAGTGGCCAAATGAGTGGAAAACCGGACAAATTCAGGAAACAGCACTGGCCAAAGTGTTTAAGTTACAAAGTTTTTCTTCTCTTTCTAGGATCCAGAGCTAGTCCGTAATATTTCATTATGGGTTCGTGAAGCGGTCTCCATTCCATTTTTTGTCAAATTAACTCCGAACATCACAGAAATTGTAACGATCGCCAAAGCAGCCTATGAAGGTTTGTTCTTCCTATTTTCTCTGTTTTTGCAAATCAAATTCAAATCATATTTCCCATAGAGTCACTTAAACGCTGAATATTTAGGATGCCTTGCCTTTTAAAAACTACAACCAAACATAACTTTAAAAAGTAATTTTACTTTTTGGAAGCTATTGATCCTTTTTTAAAGTTTTTGTATGGCCAATTCTTGTTCTTTCTTGTTTTTGCTTTAAAAAACAATCTTCAAAATTTAGAATCAAATTGGTAAATCAGTCTGACTAATTATTCAAAGAAAGTAAATAGTCGAATTTACATACTATCAAGCAACAAGTTGTTAGAGTAGTGTTTGAAAAAATCAGGTCTTGGTGAAACACTTGCTAATTTATTTGTTGTGTCCTCTGTAATTGATTCTTATGGCAAGGTTCAGTTTTTTGCGTATAATTGAATGTTAGTTTTTGGAGATGAGATGAATGCCGTAATTCCTTGCCCAAGAAGAAAACACGGTGCAGGGCCTTGTAATGTCTTAATAATTAAATAATTGTATCATTATTTCAATCCATAGGTAAAGCATCAGGCGTGTCTGCAATCAATACAGTTTCAGGACTGATGAGTTTGAAAGGTGATGGAACTCCGTGGCCGGCTGTCGGCAAAAAAATGTTGACCACTTACGGTGGAGTTTCAGGCAATGCCACTCGACCAATGGGTTTGAGAGCAGTGTCTGCAATCGCAAGGGCCCTTCCTGGTTTCCCAATTCTTGGAATTGGAGGTATTGACTCAGCTGATGTTGGATTGCAGTTCCTCCATGCAGGCGCAACTGTGCTGCAGGTAACTTTGCTTATCAACTCAACAACTTTTCCGTCTGTCTCGTTTTGTTGATGGTTTTCATGGATACATGTATGCGATCAATTTCGAAAAATGAAACCTTTTTTGGGGGAGGGGGGAGCAGAGATAGGGGATGATAATTTTTCATGCAAGTCTAAAATCCACCAAAATTCATCAAGCTGAAAGATCTTTGTCACTTCACAGTTGAAGTTCCAGAATTGAAGTCATTTTGGCCTGACACAATTCACTTGTTTTGCAGTGTTTCAGTGTTGTTTTTAATCTTGTTATCTTTGTAATCACCAGATTTGCAGTTCTGTTCAGAATCAAGACTTCACAGTGATTGACGACTACATCACTGGACTTAAAGCATTACTATATTTGCAAACCATTCCTCAGCTTGGAAAATGGGATGGCCAATCCCCACCCACACCTGTACATCAAAAAGGGAAACCGGTCATCTCTCTTAAGGCCGTTGTTGGAGAGGTAAATAAATACTCATACAAGTTGGTTATCATCATCAAATTACATGTTCAGCAGTGTCCGAAACTCACCTTAGAGTTTCAGGAGTTATGTTGCCCATCAAGCTCAACTTTTAGGGACCATTGAAGATTTTTTAGGGGCCAAATTGACTTTTTGCTTATATATCACAGCGCATTTTGTAAAAAGTTAGACGCAAGATGTTTTAGTTACAGAACTAGTAGCTGTATTTTGTAACTTTTGAAAAATCACTGAATAGAAAAATTAGATTTTTTTTTTTTTTGGGGGGGGGGCACTTTTTAGGGGCCACGTTGGCGCAGAGCCTTCATTTTTTAGGCACCATGACCGATTTTTTAGGCGCATTTGACGCGTTGGCGCCTGTGAATTTCGAACACCGATGTTCAGCATGAAAAGTGACGGCTTCAGAGAGATCTTGCTTTCATTATTCTTTTCTTTTTGGAGGAAAAGGAAAGCAGGGATGCAGAAACTTACGGACCATAGAGAAAAAAAGGAGGTGTTTGCATTTCGGGCATCTTGGAATTTTTTTGATGACGTAAGTCGGCACAGCGACTTTTGTCATCGATTTCCTTGGAAATGGTGTAATTTATGGAAAAAAGTCACTCTATGAAAAGTGCTTGAAATTATATCATGAGCTGATTTAAGCAAAAAAATGGGACATTATAGTCCGTTTTTCATGCTTCGAATTCCGGATTTTGCTGGCTAGGTTGTACCGACCTACGTCACAGGGTAAACAAACCTCAAGATGCAAATACCTCCTTTTTTTTTTTATGCTTACCGACCACGCAACTAGCCCTGTTGCCCAGCATGGAAGGATCTTTACAAGAATGGAAAAAAACGGGGGAACTCCTGAAAAAATTGGGTGAAACAGTCGAAATGCGAAGAACCCTGTGCAAAATATGGCGTTTTGGCGGTGAATTAGTCTGATTTTTTGGGTAAAAGGTTTTTTTCAATCTGCAAGGGGAACCAATCATCAATTGTGGTTAAAAGTGAGGGAAGGCTGATCGAATTTGGGGAGAGATCAATTGACTTTGAGGTAAAGCCTGAAACTTTCTGCATCCCCAAAGAAAATAATGAGAAGAAGGAAGAAGAGGTTGGAGAGGGAGAGAAGAAGAACAAGCATGCTTTAAGTAGTGGACGTAACTTAACCTCCAGAGATTTTGCAAATAGTTATGATTTTGTGTTGAAGTTTCCTGATTTGAAACTGTTTTAATAACTCAATATTTAGTTGGGTAATCTTACATTTTTATTTCTTATTTCTAAACCTGACGCAGGTGTCAGTACTGATAACTTTTAGTTGCAATACTCATTGCTCATGTTTTTTGCAGAATGTTCCTCATTTTGGAGAATATCAAGAACTGAGAGAGAAAGTAACTGTTGAAATTAAGAAGAATAGCGATCCGCTAGATGGAAAAATTGAACAGCACAGACCAGCTAATTCACCTGAAAAGCCAGTGCCAACCGTACAACAAGTGGTCGGTCGCTCCCTACCCATGATTGGTGTCTACAAAAATTTGGACAACAAAAAGCAAGTTGTTGCTTTAATCAATGATGTAAGTACATACTCCACCCAAAAAAAGAAAAATCATTCCTGATTACTTTATCCGAAACAGGGACAGGCTAAGGAAAATCAAGATCCAACCTGGTTACGTTAGAGGTAAAGAACTTTATCTAGGCCAATAGTAATTCAATGCCCTATTAAGTGACCTTTCGAACTCAAAAACCTCTCAGGAACCGCTAGACACATCATCTGTGGACGGACAATATCTATTTTTGAACAAAATGAATTAGCAGTGGCTCCTCAAGATTTAGTAGACAGTATTTTTTAAATTATTAGTGTCAAATTTACCGGTTGAGACATCTTGTATCTTGTCTCTTTTTGCACTACCATTTTTCCCATGTCTCTTTGTATAGACGATTTTCTCTGGTGCCTGTGAAGAAAAAAAATATGCACCTGCGAATAAATCAACAATAACAACTAATTTGTAGTGTGGTTTAAAATTAGTCAGTTTTCTCAGTTTGATAATTTTCTAATGATTTCAGAGGCACCATTTTTCAATAAGAAAAAACTGCATCAATGAATCATTGCAGATTATATGCTAAACATAAAAAATTTTTCCTAATGGCAACTTGTAGATTTTGATTATACCTGCATTTAAATATTTTTGAACCAATGCAAACCAAAAATTTTATCATCTCAGTTGTGAGTCAATCCATGAAATTTTTGTTGCATGATTCAATTTCCACATGAAATTTTCATGTAAAGATATGTAATATAATATGTATGTGCGTATAGCTCAAATCAAGAACTTTTCAGGTGATCCATTGGCTGTGCATGGATTTCTGATCCTAATGTAAGTTTCTCTTTCCTAGGACATGTGTATCAATTGTGGAAAATGCTATATGGCTTGCAATGATTCAGGGTACCAAGCAATAACATTTGACCCAGAGACCCACCTGCCGCATGTGACTGATGACTGCACAGGCTGTGACCTTTGTTTGTCCGTTTGTCCGATCATTGACTGCATAACGTAAGTTCTTCATTCTGAAATATATACACTTGAATATTTGCCGAGGGAAAAACATTTTCACATTTAGTTCCAATAATTGGAATGTTAAAAAAAAAAAAAAAAAAAAAAAGCAGTGAACTCCAACACAATGTGTTGATAAGGCGCGTCATTAACTCGCACATATCAACCCCTTTAGTTTTCATTTACAGAGATTTCAAAATAGGCAAACAGCATAAAAAGAGAATTCACGATCCAACACTGCGAGGTCAAAGACGCACCTTGACGAGACCGTGTATTGTGAAAGTAGAAAGCTATTCGATCGAATTTAAGTTTTTTGATCTGCCTCAAGCAAAATCTTATCAGATTCTTGAAGAAAAGTGCTACGGAATAATTTAAGCGAAGAAAGGAAAAATTCTGTCGAACTCCTAGAAGATAAAGTCGATTTAAAGGTATTTTGGGGCTAAAATACCCAAATCACCGGTAGTAAAAATCCCGTTATATTATTGAAAAGAAATTGACTCGATATAAATGCAATTGCATTAAATACGTCTTGATTTTGTTATTTTAAACGTCTTTCCATGCAAAGAAGTTCAACCATGTCGTTGCTTTATTCATTCATGAATTGAAAGTAAGCAATCTACATCCCGAAAATCTACTGATTTGCCGTAAAAAATTGCAGAAACTTGATATACCAGGTCGATGCACCCACTCGTTGAATTTACCAACCAATTTTGTGAGTGCAAATGTGTAAGAATCAATATGCTATAGTCATTTTGGGTGCA